TAAGCTGAATACTAGTATCTTGAAAAATATCTTGTGAAATATTATGTGCTGTCAGCATAGCAAAGATAAAATAAATCAGTGATTAGAAATTTATGAAATCTATTATGTTTAGAAATGTGTTGAAAAAAATGTCTTTCCATTAAACAGAAATTCGGGGTAAAGGGTTGCTAATAATTCAGGAGGGCTAATAATTCTGACTTCAACTGTATACAGTTGTTTACCTCCCAGTAAATAAGGAAAGGGAAATACATACAATAGAATAAAAATATGAAACAAACTGTGGTTTAAGCATCTTCACTGTAAGAAAATATTTAATTACTGCTACAAAAGTCCTTGAGTCAAGAGCAGTGAGGGGTTTTGTCCTTTTGTTGTTTGATTAAAGATAAAAAAAAGTCGGCAGCAGGAATATTGTCATTTTAAGAGCAGTGCAGTTCTAATTTATGGTTTCTCTTTCACGCGTCTTTTGATTTTGATTAAGATGACTTTAGATGTGTGTGCTCTGCTCGTCTCTGACGGTGTGCGCACAAACACAGCAGCATGTGCTCTTTTGCACTTTTATAAACAAGAATGACTCAAATGTACATCAATGAATGATGCGCATCTCGTGCTGCAAACGTTACATTACAGCACATGCTTTTAGCCATTTTCACATGAAACTGAGTTTTGCAGAGCAACAAATGTGTACAACTGGAAAGGGGGCGGGATATGATACAGTATTCGTTTTATCTTGATTACTGTTTTTTTTTTTTTTTCATAATCATTAGAAGCCAAAATCGAAATCGAATTTTTGATTAATTGCACAATAATGTAGTGGGGAAAATAAATATTGAACTCAGAAAACATGTTTCTAAAGGTGCTGTTGAGCTGAAATTTTCACCAAATGTTGGTAACAACCAAATAATTCATTATATGCTAAGAAAACAAATCTAATTAGTTTACAAATGAAGTTAGATGTTATAAGTAAAAAGTATTGAACACATGAAGAAAGGGAGGTGTAGAAAGGCAGTGAAAGCCCAGACAGCAGCTGAAATCTCTCAGTAGTTTTTCAGCAACTCTCTGCCCTTCCTCAATGTAAATTAATATCAGCTGCTTCAGTTTAACATCTAGCAGGAGGAAGAAAATTAAACTAGGGTTGACATTTCAGCAAGATAATGATGCAAAACACAGCCAAGGAAACTCTCAAATGCTTTCAGAGAAAGCGGTAGAATGGCCCAGCCAATCACCTGACTTGAATCCAATAGAAAATACAAATTAAAGATCAGATTTGATAGACGAGACCCACAGAACCATCAAGATTTTTACACTCTGTTGAAGCCTGTGAAAAACTCTCACCTGAGTAATGCATGTGACTTCATTCTCCATTTGAGAGGCGTCTTTAAGCTGCCATCACATTTCAAAAAAAATTTGTATAAATATTATTTATTGATTTTTGTTATAAGCAAGATCTTTGTACATCAAAAAGCAAGGTTTTATTTAGTGTTTCTTATGTTTTTTTTGTTATTATTATTATAATTTGTCAAATTTATATCCGATATTGATGCAAATTGATTCAAAAGGGAACTCAATCAGTACTATTGACAAATGTTCAGCATTTAACAGGACACATTAAGCTGACTGTAATTAAATCGGTAATATCCAACGTGAGCTGTAATCTAGACACATAAGACACCCGAATAAAAGTGAATGGTAATTTTACCTTTTTAAAAATATATTATTATTGCTTCATAACTCCTGTGGCTAATAGTTTTTAAGCTTTCACTATCATCCTAAAATACTGTAAACAGAGGTGAAGGATGTTTCCATGTGTTTTAATCCTCCAGCACTCTGTCAGTAATCTCTCTCTCTCTCTCTGCAGGATTGTGTAAGTGTGTGTAAGCTCTAATTCTCTGATATGATGATTGTCTGACAGGCAATTAAGCGTGCGCTGCTCAGGGGACGAGAGAGAGATTTGTGCTGTGAAGCTCAGGTTTACTCTAGTGGACTGAAGCACTGCTGCCTTTATTGATTTAAACACACAATAACAAGTGAATGGAAAAACGATGAGGTGAGGACTAAAGATGAGGGAGAGGCTTCCCATTAAGATTTTTAATGACTAAGTATTAATAAAAATATATATTTTTTAATATTTTAAAATATATACTAGACTAAATATATTTTTAAATAATAATAATAATAATATTTATACATTTTAAAAAGTGTAAATGCATTTTTTTATTTTAATAAATTGGCTTTATAACAAAAGCATAAAAATATGTTGTATTAAAATAATATTTATATCTAATAAAATGTATTAAAATAATAATAAAACAAATATGGGGGGAATTTTGTGTCACAGTACCTTGTGTTCTCACTCTCTCCTCCAGTTCTATGTTACAGATTACCTTCAGTTACCTGCTTTTACTCTCAGTCACGAAGTCACAGGTCATGGTTCTGCTGGATTTCCACCTTTCCAAACAGAGATGATCGTGTCAGGCATGGTATGAGTACAACCAGAGATTTTATGTGCAGCCCAGTCCATCCAGCCTTCAGCACATGGGTTGATGTTTATTAGCAAGAGGCCTTCCACCATAGCAGGGTAATCTAAAACAAGGAGAGGATGTAAGCACCGGCTCCAATAGCCATGCCGATCACACTCTTCAGTCCAAAATGTTTCAGGATTGATGGAAGAGTCTCAAATGACCTGTGATTTCGTGACTGACAGTAAAAGCAGGTAACTGAAGGTAATCTGTAACATAGAACTGGAGGAGAGACTGAGAACACAAGGTACAATGACATTTTAAGTAGCAACAAACAAAGGATTATTTAAAAAAAAATTATAAATAATAATAATTTTATAGTTTTTCCTATAATTTTTTTTTCTGGATAAAGTCTTATTTGTTTTATTTCAGCTAGAATAAAAGTAGTTTTTAATAAAAATAAAAAAAACTTGCCTAATTACCCAACTTGACTAATTAACCTAGTTAACCCACTTAAGTCAAGTTCAAGTTCTATTCATTTATATAGCACGTTTCCAACTGCCACAGGGCTGCACAAAGTGCTTTACAGAGAGAAAATAAACACATGATATGAGCATAAAACAGTAAAAACAGCAATAAGCACATAATAGGAAGGAACATAGAAAAATGATCAATAATAGAGCAAAAATAAAAATAAAAAATAGTAATAATAATAATAAAATATTTTTTCCTCATTAAAAGATGCTACCACAGTTGACCAACACTAAACACAATAGAGAACTTGACCGTTTTGATCCCCCTTCCCACTCCCAACACCCCCCCCCCCCCCCTTCTGAAAGGGAAGGACTTATGCTTCAAAAAGACCTAGAAAATAAATGCGTCTTTTATTTGGACTTAAAAATAGGCAGCGACGAAGCCTTTTTTAACTCTAATGGCAGAGAGTTTCAGAGGCGAGGACCTGCTATGGCAAAAGCACGTTCGCCCCTACTTTTGAGGTGGGCCTTTGGAACTATTTATAAAAACTGATCAGCAGAACGCAAGTGTCTTTGAGGAGTGTAGTTAACAATCAGTTGGGATAAATAATGAGGGCCAAGACCATGTACGGATTTTCACCGGTAGCCAATGTAGAGACCACAGAACAGGAGTGATGTGTGCATATTTCGGGCTTTTAGTTACGAATCTGTACTCTGTAAGAAACTGTAGGGGAGCAATCTGAGACTTAGGCAGCCCAAAATATAGAGAGTTGCAATAAGTGCGTGTATGGCAAAGTCTTTAAATGTCACTTTAAGCTGAATATTAGTATCTTGAAAACTATTTAGAAAAATATTATTCACTGTCATCATGACAAAGGTAAATTAGTTATTATAAATGAGTTATTAAAACTATTACGTTTAGAAATGTGTTGAAAAAAGTCTACTTTTCATTAGACATAAATATACAGGGGGCTAATAATTCAGGAGGGCTAATAATTCTGACTTCAACTGTATGTTTGGATTGAACCTTTAGCGGCAGCATTTTTCACACGGTGTTGGATGAAACGCAGATCAAATCAGAAAGGGGAGTGAATGGTCATGTTCAGGACCTGCTGTGAATCTGAGCTCAGCCTCTCGTAAAGGCCATTTACAGCCCTTGTAAGGGTGTTGTTTCAGTCTCATGTAATCGATAAACGAGTGTGTGTGGGTTTAATGCGCTCTTGCTCAGCACTGAACCTTTCAGAGCCAAAGGCAAAATGTCTTGTGTGTGCCAGTCTGACCATTCCTTCACCAGAGCAAATCCTCATCAAATCAGCTGATATTATTATTTATTCATTCGTTCTCCTGTGGCCTAGTCCTTTTTTCATCAAGTCCTGATAGTGGAATGAACCGCCAACTTATCCAGCATATGTTTTACACAGCAGATGCCCTTCCAGCTGCAACCTATCACTGGGAAACATCCATACACATCATTCACACATATACACTACGACCAATTTAGTTTATTCAATTCACCTGTACCGCATGTCTTTCGACTGTGGGGGAAACCTACGCCAACGTATTGAGAACATGTGAAGTCCACACAGAAATGCTAACTGGCCCAGCCGGGACTCGAACCAGTGACCTTGTTGCTGTGAGGCGACAATGCTAACCACTGAGCCACATTGTCACCCTTAAAAATATTATTATTTTTAAATGATTTATGCAATGATGTCCATGTCATGAAATCTTCAAACATTTTTTTTTTTTTTTAATTTTCAAAACTCAAAACATTCTTTAAACTTCAGCTTTCACACAGGACTTTATCAGTGTATTGTGATGAGTTTTTCTTGTCCACACTGAAAAAAATGAAACTGTTGCAAATTTATGTTGAATTTAAACAATCAAATTAAATTTAGTAGTGTTTAACTTAATTTGTTTGCTTAAATTCAGCCCATATAAATTGTTTTCAAACACCTAAAATTTTTTGTGAATCCAATAAATTCCAACAAATATTTTTTTAAACAAATATTTTTTTGTGTAGTTAATGGCGTGTTCAACTCTTGTGTGTGATTGTGTGTGCTTTTGTTAGAGAGGGGAAGATGGTGGTTTTGTCTCTCGCCATCGGACTTGCAGAACAAGATGACTTCGCCAACCTTCCAGACCTACAGGAGGCACCAGCGGACACAGAAACACCTCCCACCGACAAACGGTAACGCCTGGTTTATCAGACCCATTCATTTCCGTATAGAGCTGGTAAAACATGCTGGTATATACATGATTCTGGCTGGAAATATTGATTACATCCTCTCCTGGGCAGGAGTTCAGACTCAGAGAATTTTATTTAATTTAATTTTTTATTTTTATCATTACTTATTTATTATTATTTTTTGTTAGTTAGTTAGTTTTGTTTTGTTTTATTGGTTAATTAGTTAATTCATTTTTTCATTGTATTTTATTTTATTATTATATTATTTCCAATGCAATGTTTCCATGAAGTTTGTTGTTTTTTGACTGTTTCCCGTTGTGATAGATTCTATTATCTGAGAAAATAAAATCCATTTCTCTATAGATGGACATTGAAATATGTAAAGGCTATATATAATTCTTTATATGTTTCTAAATAATCCACATGATCAAAAGTTTGTTGTGCACAATCTACTTAATGCCTTCTGATATTTGAATGACAGCTTAATACTTTTTTGTACATAAAAGACCTTTTAGTAAAATGTTTTTTGTTTTGTTTTTTTGCTGTGAAAATTGATTCTTTTCTGATTTGGCAGAATATTCGTCCATATCTCTTTGTTTCAGTGCCTTATAAAAGTGAATTTTTCATATTGTTTTTAAAGTCTGATTTTAATGTTAGAAGTCAGAGTGTTGAGTTAGTGCGCCAGAATTGTTGCCTGGAAAATATCAATTTGTCATATTCTGTCGGTTTTGGCAGTAAATAAGAATTTTGAGTCAGTAAGATTTTTCTGTTAGTTGCCAGAATTTTCAGTTGGTGTGACAAAATATGGAGTAAGTCAGAATTTTGAGTTAGTAAGCCAGAACTGTTAATTTCAGAAAATTCTGTTTGCTCATCACAGTTATGAGGAAGTCAAAATTTTGAGCTAATCAGAATTTTGAGCTAGTGAGACAGAATTGTGAATTAATAATTCTGAATTTTGAGCTAGTGAGACAGAATTGTGAATTAATAAGTCAGAATTTTGAGCTAGTGAGACAGAATTGTGAATTAATAAGTCAGAATTTTGAGCTAGTGAGCCAGAATTGTGAATTAGGTTGGTCCGAATTTTGTAGTCAGTAAGACAGAATTTTAAGTTAGTAAAAGATTATTTTTAATAAGCCAAAATTTTGAATTAGTAAGCCATAATTTTGTCAGTAAGTCAGAATTGTAATTTAGTAAGTCAGAATTTTGAGTTTATAAAAGAGAAATTTTATAAAGTCAGAATTTTGAGTAAGTAAACAAGAGTTTTGAGTTGGTAAGTCTGAATGTTAAGTTAGTACGCCAGAATTTTGAGACAGTAAGAGAATTTTGAATCAGTAAGCCAGAATTTTCAGTTTGTAAGTTCGAATTTTGAGTAAGTGAGCCAGAATTATGAATTGGTAAGCCAGACTTTTGAATCAGTAAGCATGGACTTTGAGTTAGTAAGTCAGAATTTTGAGCCAGTAAGCCAGAATTATCAATTGGTAAGTCCGAATTCTGAGTAAGCTAGAATTTTGAGTTAGTAAGAAAGAATTTTTAATAAGTCAGAATTCTGAGTTAGTCAGAATTTCTTTTAAATAAGTCAGAATTTTAGTCAGTAAGCCAGAATTTTGAATCAGTAAGCCAAGATTTTGAGTTAGTACTGTAAGTCAGAATTTTGAAATTAATAATTTAGAATTTTGAGTCTGTAACAACCAGCCAGAATTTTGAATTAAGTCAGAAGTTTCAGTCTGCAAGTCAAAACTTTGAGTTATTAAGTCAGGATTTTTAGTTAGTAAGCTTATTTAATCAGCTGTCCAGCAATGTGTAAATCTCAATTTCCAAAAAAGGACACCAGTGACTGTTTTTTAGGTCAAGGGTAACAATATATCCCTGTTCAAACATCTTCTAAAAGTGTCTTTTCCACGACAGCTTCCCTTCAACAGTAAACAGTTAAAGTGTGAGCTGTGTTTTTGCTAATCAAGTCCTCAACCCACTCAAACTCCTGACAGAATCAATGACTGTCCTTGTGTGTCTTAAGCTGTTGATCAATCACAATGTCAATAGTATCGGCCAGTTTAAAGCCTCTCCTCACATCATTTGACTTTAGGCAAGTGTCGACATTTACCCAATGAGGAAATAAGCAGCAGATGTGCGTTCTCTGTGTGGGAATGCTAAAAAAAAAGTAGGCACGCTAATGCTAATGTTGTTATTATTATTCATGAATCTTTTTTGTGCAGGTTTGTTTGTTCTTGCGATCTTATCAGGCTCATTTGGTGTGGCATTTTGGAGTTTTTGCACTATCATCTCACATCCCTTTGGTAGTTTCTGTGTGTGTGTGTGTGTGTGTGTGTGTGTGTGTGTGTGTGTGTGTGTGTGTGTGTGTGTGTGTGTGTGTGTGTGTGTGTGTGTGTGTGTGTTTGTGTGTGTGTGTGTGTGTGTGTGTGTGTGTGTGTGTGTGTGTGTGTGTGTGTGCGTGCGTGTGTGCGTGCGTGCGTGCGTGCATGCGTGCGTGTGTGTGTGTGTGTGCGCGTGATCAGTGTTTCAGCAAGGTGTCAGGATCACAGTGGGAGTTTGCTGATTATAAGAGACTCTAAAAATACTGTAAAAAAAAAAAGTACTGACTAAAAATACACCCTCCACTATCACACACACACAAGCAACACACAAGTATTGTATCTCTCTCACACACACAGTGACATGCACAAATACACAAACATACACATGCACACACAAGTATCTCAAACACATGCATACACAATGATACACACGCAAACATTGCATCACATACACACAAGCATCACACACACACACACCCACACACACAAGCATCACATACAGACAAACATGTACGCACAATATACAGACGTACACAACACACATACAAATACAAGCATTGCAAAAACACACACACACACACACACACACACACACACACACACATACACACATACATTCACACGCACACATATTGTACATCACACACATTTATACACAGATACCGGCACGCACACTCAAACACATTTCATGTGCACACACACATACACAAACAAGCATCACACACAAATTTATGCACAGGCCCCAGCGCACACATACACACACATGCATCACACACACATTTATACACAGGCACCGGCGCACACATACACACACATGCATCACACACATATATACACAAAAATCCGGTGCACGTACGTACGTACATACAGTACACATACAAGCATCTAACACACAAAAGCATCACACACACTCACACACAGATACTGATGCAGTCATGCACACACACACACACATACATACATACACATAGAGTACACATACACACACATATACATAGCCAGCACATTATACACAGACACTGGTGCACACACACACACACACACACACACAAAAGCATCACACACAGACATTGATGCAGTCATGCACGCACACATACACTCACACACACACACACACACAAAAGCATCACACACAGACACTGATGCAGTCACGCACACAAACACACACACACACACACATATACACAAACTAGCATCACACACAGGTACCCATACAATTACAAACAAGCTTTGCGTCACGCACTTATACACTGGCACACACACACACACACAAACAAACTGCCTGTCTTCACTCTTTAACTACGCATCAGCCTACACAAACTCACACACGCACACACATATGCACAAACACACAAACAGGCATCACACACACACACACACACACACACACACACAAACAAGCATCACACACACATTTATACACAGACACTTGCACAAACTGCCTGGAGATGAAGTCTCGGCTCCCTAAACACACATCAGCCCACACACACACACACACACTAACACACGCACACACACACACACACACACACACACAGCATTTTCTAATCAGACTCACTCTGAGTTCAGCGTCTCTCCACATCAGACTAGTTAAACTGGAGTGTGTTGAAGGTCTGTGTGTGTGTTTTCATCCCACTCCAGCAAGTTTCACTACACATCCGGTCAGGACTCTTACTCCGTGTCCATCTGCTCCCAATTTATAATCATCTCCATCCCGTCTGCTCAAACCACGGCCATTCACACAATCTGCTGTGATCAGGGCTAAACCTGCACACGTGAGCTCATTGTTTACATTGTCATTTCCATAAGAAGTCAAATCTAAGGGCCACCTATTGTACCCTTTTTTTTAAGATTTAATATATGCGTTTTGTGTATCTAAAATGTGTCGGTAAAGTTTCAGCTCAAAACACCCATCAGATAATTTATTATAGATTTTAGAGCTTATAATAATTAGCTCTGAGCACCTTATAAAGGCCTGTGCCTTTAATGCTGGTTCTCCCCACCCACCGTTCCCACGTGCCTGTCAGAGTGTGCCCCAATCTCTGCCTCGACTGCATCAGATAAACAGCACAGTGACAGACATAAAGGAAGCAGATCTGACGTAGCGTTTGTGAGAAATACTACAGAGAAGAAGTGTTTTCTAAATTTACTCTGACTTGTATTTCATTGAAGACAGTGTCTTCTTCTTCTTCTTTGGCCTTAGACCCGTATGGTTGCGGGGTCGGCTCTTTGGAACAAGTCCTCCATTTAGTCCATATGATAACGACCTTTTTACACATTCCGGCCAGCCTGTCAACCTCACACACTCATACACTACGGACAATTTAGCCTAAACAATTCACCTGCAGCATGTCTTTGGACTGTGGGGGAAAACGGAGGAAACCGGAAACCGGAGGAAACCGGAAACCGGAGGAAACCTACGCGAACCCCGGGAAACCCACGCGAACCCAGGGAGAACATGCAAACTCCTCACAGAATTGCCAACTGAGGATCGAACCAGCCACCTTCTTGCTGTGAGGCGACAGCACTACCTACTGCGCCACTGCTTCGCCCCTTCATTGAAGACAGTTTATTCTAAATAAACACATATTCTGATTTTGGCTCTTGCAACAAATTTCAAAAAAAGTTGGTGCAGTAAAGCATTTTTCCAATTTGTAATGTTGCCATAAATTTTCACAACACTTAACATGT